CTTTACTGTTGATGTTAGATTTAACTCTGTAATACATTCCAAAGCATATTTCCAGTTTTTCTGTTTAGTAGATAATAAAAAAGGTTAATCCTCAAATAAAAATGCAATCCAATATCAAAAACACAAAAATGCTTTTTTGAAACATCCTTTCTTTTCTGTTTTCTAAATATTATAGTATACAATCACATGCATTTGTTTATGAGTGCATGTGTGTACATACAGACAGGGCTCCACAGATGAGGGCAGACATGCAGGCTTTTTTTCTTCCTGAGATTGGGTGACCTCACTTACATTCTACATCCATCCATTTTCCTGTGAATTTTGTGATTTCATTTTTCTTTAGAGCTGAATAATATTCCATTTTATATTTGTACCAGATTTTCATTATCCATTCATCTGTTGATGCCAACTAGTAAATTCGATTTCCTTGCTACAATGAAAAAGCAGTAATTAAGCATGAGGGTACAAATATCTCTATAGTAAGATATGGAATTCTCTGGGTAGATGCTCAGGAGTGAGACAGTTGGGTCATATGGTACCACTGTACTTTATTTTTTGAGGCACCTCCAAACTGAAAGGAGGAAATCTTTACTAGCTACATATCAAAAAAGAGGTAATAACCAGAATATACAAAGAACTGAAAAAATTAAATAATTACAAAGGAAATAAAATTATCAATCAACAAATAGGGCGGGAAATTGAATGGACAGTTTTCAGAAAAAAAATTTTTCATTTCAGGGACATTATAATTAAAACTGCTTTGAACTGCCTTACCCCAATCAGAAGACAAGTGACAGTAAACACAGGAGGATGTAGAGAAAGGGGAGCCCTTATCCACTGCGGGTGGGAATGCAAATTAGGACAGCCATTATGGAAATCAGTTTGGAGGTTCCTCCAAAAATTAAAGATATGATTTCTTTAAAAGGGAACTAAATATGGAATTTAAAGTTAGAAGTGGATTTAGTACCCAGTCTTCATAAGTTAGACCCTTTTATGTATACTTACTCTACCTCCTTGAGGGTGATTGATTTTGTTTTCCCTCTTAAAGCTTCTAATAAAAATGTGTCCATTTCTTAGTCACCTATGGTATTTGTTTAGTGAATTTCTGAAATCTGAGTGAATAGGGGTCTGAATATGACTTAAAAGTCTGATTTTTTCCTAGAAGGAGAAAGGAACAAGGCCAAATATGCTTTTGACCCTTAACTTCTTCGTAGCAACTGTACCTAAGACTATTGTGAGGGGAAAATAAGAGTAATGTTTCACAAGTTTGCATTTAACCCAGC